TTTAAAAAAAATATGTCACCATGTTTTCATTTATCCTATGCATGGAAAAACTTCCAAGTTCTCATTAAATTCTGATCACAGATGTTCATATTTTTCTTGACTAATGTGGGTAATGTACACACATATATACTGTGTGTGTGTCAGTGTATACAATTATATACTTAATATTTTCTATATATTAGGTTTCATTAGATAGTAAGCTGCCTCTTAGGCTTCCTTTATTGTTTCACCAATATATTGATAATTAACAATGAGCTTTTTTAGTTCTGTAATGATTAGTTGCTATATATTTTTTTTTGCTTTTTTTTTTTGCTATTTTTGGTTGCCTTTTCTTAATTCCGTTTCAAAATAGAATACAATTCTATGAGTTACATTTTTAACCATTATTACTGAAGAAAGACCCCACTTACTTTGGAGTATATCTATCAACATTACTTTTACCTGCTCCAGATAATTTAATCTGCAATAATACTGCAATTCTATACTTGGTTCCCTGGGAATAAGCCTCCTTAATTTCAGCAGAGCTTACTTGTATGTAGATATGTATAGGACTGCACTATTCCACTTATCAGCATAGCTTTCTGTCTGGGTTATTAAATTTAATCAGAATTAAAATGACTGTTTAAATAACTTCCATTGATTTCTTTGAAAACAGCAATGATAATTTGAGAGAGAACTTTGCGTAAGAAGGAAATATAAAGCTGATTTTCTAAAATGTGATAGCTCCAGAGAATGAAAAATTACTGTGTGTGTGTACTGTGCACACCATTTACTTGGGTGAGAGTAAAGGGGAGAAGATTTAGATAAATGGGGACACACAGACTTACTAATCATGATGAGATGCTAATGAGACTCGCGTAGCACAGGATGTCAAGATAGCCAAATAAAATGGGAAAATTGATGACTTTAAGAATGTTTGATTTCTAAATTGTCTTGCAAACTGGGGAAATTGATTTTTTTCTTTAAAATATATTCAATCCTATTTTAATTCTGAATAATATACTTTTCTTTTTTTTTAATAAAAAAATCAGCTACTGCAGTTGAAGGAGATTTTGAAATTTCAACCCATATGAGGTCTGGAAGGCTGGTTACTTTGAATTTTTCTACTCCTTCCTCCCCTCATTTGCTTTCTTTTTTAATTTTTTTTTAAATAAGCAGTATCTCCTACATCATAAAGTTAAGAAGCTTGAAAACTTCCCTCCCATTCCATATTAAAACACATACATAGTTAGCCTATCGTAATTTCAGCCACATATCTCACTTTAGCAAGCAGGGGTGTTAAGGAAATGCCAAGACACGTTTTTTGAATTTTATCTATTTCCCGACTTCCATTCATTATGCTCCTTATTTGTACCTAGGTTCATTTCTGGCTCTCCCAATCCTTTTACCTTATCTTCCTTTGTGTGTGCGTGTTTTAATATTTTGACACTCTGCTCCCACCTAATAGGAATTCTTTTTGAGAAAGGATGCATATGTTGTCTAAAGGAGTCTTTTCACAGCCCTCGGTTTTTCCTTTCCCTTTTGGCTCTAAAATTATGTATATGTAATTGGTAATTAAAGGTGCAAGCTCTCTTCAATATAAACAGTATTGCTCAATGTTAGATCATTAAAGGGAACAGAAGCACTAAATAATTACCTTTTGCATTGTGACAAACCGTTCGCACAGAAATCCACTCACTTCCCGCTCAGCACTAGGGTTATGATTACATTTTCACGATGGCAAAAGAGTCCTTTCATAAAATAAATTGGTAAATTAATTACGTTGCATTGTCTACCAGCCGCTTTTAAAGTAAACTTTGAGGAAAGGATGGAGGGAAAGTAATTAATGGGTTTCACACACTATGCATTATGCCTAGTGTTTGAGTTACCTAGTGGATTAATTTGGCTACAAGTAAGTACAGGAAACTCAGAAGCTTTCATGCATGCATCTCCTATTCCTTAGGCTGACTTCTTGTTCATCCACCTCCATTAATTGTAAAGAGAAGGCAGTTAGCGTGGGCTTAATCTGAAGTACTATGAATCCAACAAAGCCCAAGTTCCGATGCATTCAGTTATTTTTCTTATATACATAGCTCCTGTGTATAAATTGCAAAACTGCATTTGACTACATTCATGTACTAATTAGCAATATTTTTTCAGAAACAGAAGTTAGATGCCTTTTGATCTAATTAAAACTGGGGGATTAGCCTCCTGGTTAGATAGTTTCCCTTTTATTATTAGAAAACAAAACAAAAAAAATCCAAATAAAAATAAATAGCAGTTTTAAAAACTGCCTAGGCAAATTTCCCATTCAGTTTGGGGATTCAGAATTCAGAAGTATGACAAATGTTTTACATTGTCCTGCTGCTTTTAGATCTCCAGGAAATTTGGAAACAAATCACCAATGCCAGTATTTCCATGTGTTCATTTTTTTCCCCTGCGGAGTTTCACTATTCCCTTCTCTTGATAAAACTTCAATGGCTCATCTCTTTTATTTACATGTCGTTAATTCACTGTGCATTGATCAGGCCAAATGATAAAATTCTTGTTTAGAGCAAAACCCTGCCAGCCATTGGGAACTGTGCCTGACCGAGGTCCATATTTTGTGTGGTTTTGCAGTTAGCCTGCCTTGGAAATAAAAACAAAATGAAACAAAACAAAAGTTTATTGCATCCTTCTAACATCGTGAATTAGCTATATTTAGTACATTATTATCTTCTGCAAACACAAGATTGTCCCAAAATTCTAGTTATATTAAGTAATGAGAGGATATATTGAGTATTCTGAAGACTATTTATATAAATAAAATTTGATCAGTGCGGACCATGGTGTAATTGAATTGGGAAATCGACTCTCCCATTTAATTTTTAGCATTTTAAGATAATATTTATGGACTGAAATTGAGAACTCTTCTGAACAAATTTCATTTTCTTTCAGCTAATAAGTGGATAGCATTATAATCTAAATAAATAAATTTGAACTGAGATGTTTTTTAAAAGAATGTTTGACCTTTTCATCAATTTGTCTTTTGGTTCTTTATAAAGGGTTTCTCTGTATAGTTCCTTATTGAGATATTTATGCTAGAAACCTCAATGTTGCATACTGGTTAATTGAAATAAAATAAAAATAAAAAGCCTTAAAATTACTCAGATCTGAAAGTACAACAATTTTGTAAAAGAAATTGAAAGGAAGGAAAAAAGAGTTTGTGACATTACAGAATTGGGACCTTGGAATAAAAAAAATGATTGATATTAAGGTCATCCTCTGAGCAGGACTGTTAAGAGTTGAAAAAGATTGAAGTAGCCTACTGAACCTACTCAGTTGGAAGCATGGTTTAGCTGTGAAAGTTTTCTGGAGAAAATTAAAGTTGTTTTTAGAAAACCCAACTGTATGAAAGACTGTTTTCATGGGTGGCATTTGAGAGACTGAATCTAGGGAGCCATTCATTCTGGACAAACCACCATGATCCATCCACAAACCAGTCTATAAGCTCAGTGTGCATTCTCAGGTGGAGCATTAAATCAGCCAGAGATTGCATGTGTGGGATTGGGTACATTTTCATTCTTACTCTGAGCCATGTCACATTAAGGTGATTGGCCAAGTTGGGGTACTGTTTCTTCCAGCCGAGCATTTAAGAAATGCAGGGGACAGAACAAAGCATGAGTGGTGTGTTTTGGGTGTGGGATCAGTTCCCTGCATTTTCTCTTAAGGCAAATGGACGTGTCACTTTCTACTGCTTGTAGACCTCAGGCTTGCTTTGTGGGTAGGGTTGAAAGAGACAGTCTTCCTGCTCAAGACAAGCCCAAGAACCTGTGACTGTCTTGTGCTGCCTTCCAAGAGATTGCAGACGTCAGGAACCACATAAACTTGTTCTCTAAACTGGTTTTGGCAAATTTGTATAAATCTCCTTCTGGCATCATTGCTGTCACCTTCTCGGAACAATAGTGATTGAAAAATCCTTTTCCCTGGAATGGCTTTCATCTTGGGAAAGACAGGCTTACGATGCCAGGAATCAGAGGCAAAACAGCTGCTCCTCCTCTGGTCATCCTGAAAAGGTGATGCAGTAAAACAGCAGTCAGATCAAACTCACTTATATACAATGTGTGTGGTGCTAAAAAAAACCTGCTTTCTGTAAGCATGATTTATCCCTATATTTTTAATAAATCCTGTGACATAATTAATTTCACTGTGATGCACTGAGCACCGTTTCCATTCAAATTCATTTTTAACAGGTGCCTGCTTGTCGCCAAAGCTTTTCATGGTTATTTGACATGGCTAGTGCTACCTTGTTAGGTTAATCAGCCTCTTCACTATATTTGTAAGTCCAATGTATTGCATATTCATTGCTTCAAACAGTCCTTGGAATGGTGGCCACGGAATGGATGCAATTAAAAAATATTTTGGAGGGTGACTGGGCCATAAAAAGCTAGAAATAGGTAAAGTTCCAAGAATCTCACAGTACAATGAGCTTAATTTTACAACTTTTTTTTTGAGAAAACAACACACTATATGATCAATAAATTGTTAAAAATATCAGAAAAATCAGTAATATAAAATACTTGCAATGTCAATTATTTTTAATGGTGGGCTTCCATAGTCAAATAGTTTAGTATTGTTTCTTGCTTTATAAAGAAAAAAAGATGCTTGATTAGAGTTGCTTAACTGAATCATGGATTCTGTTACAACTTGATATAAATCTCTGGCTCTGTCCAATGCATCCTACCAGTTTTGGTTCTGGATATGACTAACAGGTCTCTACTCTCCCCTGTTATTAATCCATTGCTGTGGAGTTTGATGGTTGATTCAGAAAAGCCTAATTAGATATGCTTATTTTATTTTGCAGACAGACTTGATTGCAAAATGTACTCAGATCACTAGTGGAGACAAGCAGGGTGGGAAATAGATAAAAAAAAATTACAACTATATGAATATTTAAACCAATTGCTCTCAATTATTTTTCTTTCTTTTTTTCTTTTTCCCTTTCTCCCTGACCTTCACCTTTTTTGGGTTTCCGAACGAAGCAGAGGCTGACCACGTGGACACTGCCATCATCACCCATGAGGATGAGAGCCTAGCACTAGGAGAGCCAGTTGGGCTCAGCATTGCGTTGGGTGGAACAGACCCTGACCTATTAACCTGTGGACAGTGTCAGATGAACTTTCCCCTGGGAGACATCTTGGTTTTTATAGAGCACAAGAAGAAACAGTGCCATGGCGCTGGTGGTGCCTGCTATGAAAAGAACGTGGATAAGAGCAGTCCTCCCCCTCCATCACGCTCCGAGCTCAGGAAAGTGTCAGAGCCAGTGGAAATCGGGATCCAAGTCACACCCGATGAAGAAGACCGTGTTCTCACGCCTACAAAAGGAATTTGCCCCAAGCAGGAGAACATTGCAGGTACAGCATGTTTTACGTTCATTCATCTGCAGAGGTAGCCTTTCCTTGTCCCACCCCTTTTCTCTAAAAATGAGAGACAGGCTTCTTGACAGAATGAAAAATGCAAAATTACCTATGAGCAGTGCATAAGGCCATAACAGACTTTGAGGATCCTCTTGATTCTAAACCTCGGAATCCAGTTGATCCCAGTTTGTAAAGGGTTTAGTTGGATCCTTGAATTGTGGAATGCCCTCTGAAAATCTGCTTGTTTTTAGTGATAACTTTTAGTCTGTGTTGTGTCAGTTGTTCAGATATAACAGACTGTTATGATTCTCCAGCCTGAGAAGTCAGATATTGTCCCTTAAATCATCTCCTTATCCCATCTTTGCTTGCATTCAATAATTCATTACGACTTTCTACTGATAATTCTTAGCTCTGTGGATTGGCATGGACACTTAAGGACTAGGTACTTTCACATTTTGCAGACCCCCCCCAAAAAAGTCAAAAAGATCCTAGAAATTAAAATTTTAGAACACTTACTTGAACTTGCATATTTTTCCAATGAGAATGGTGTCATCATGATTGTAGTTGTCTAATCTTTAACTTTGAAAGTATTGTAGCCAAAGGTACACACAATATTTTCAAAGGGTAGAGAGAATTGCAGTGAAAAGCAATGATGCCTAATCAGAGGTGGAGACATCACATATGTGGGGAGGGTCTTTTTTTCCCTTTGGATTTCATGGGTTGGGGAGGGTTTTTTTTTTTACAGCCATGTTGAGCTTACTTTAGGAAATCTGGCAGAGTTTTTGTGCATTTCCTACCTCAATCAGTGGAAATTACTGGTGATTTGGGTGAGTTAAAGTTTACGAGAGGCTTGTTGATAGCAGAAAAGATGTTGAGGGGCCATACCTCATATCAGATCGCTCAGCACTGTTTGAAATTTTACAAAAGGCAGCCTTCCCATAGCTTAATACTCCTTAGCTATTTCTTTGGTAAATATCAGTACACAGTATCCAGGCAGAAGAATATCAGGACTATATAAGAAGATAAGACTCCGTTGAATTTTAAAGTAGTTATTTAATAGAGATGCATTTAGTGTATGCTAGTGTATACGGAACAGTGAGAGAACAGGGCAGTTGTTCAATGGGAATATGATATATTTCTGAAGAAAGGGATAGTTATGACCTACAAATATAAAACAAGTTTAATTTGCATAATCCTTTCTCCCTAGTTAGTCTGTTGTTCATATGTGTGTGAATGTGCGCGTGCACACACGCACATATATATTTAAAGTTTTAAAGACAACATAAACATTAACACAAACTAATCCAGAAAAAAGAAAACAAAGGAAGAAAAAGAGAAAGAAAAGAAAAAAGACATAAATGTAGAAAGAAAAAAATAAAAATAAAAAGGAAGGAGGTTTCTGATTTCCTTTGCAGAAAAAATCATTACAAAATTACCTCTTACTGTATATTTTAAAAAAGCTTATTGTTTTCTATTATTCATTTTTTCTAATCATTAAAATCACAACTTATAAGTACATTTCTTTTCTCTTTCATGCAGAAAGTCTATAAGGGTTTCCAGTCAGCTTTAAGTGCATATATTGTCTTTTCTCTAATCAAGAAAGTCAATTTAGCCATCTCTGCAAGTTACATCATCTTCACCTATTGTAGTGAAGTGGAGAGTTCTATTGTGGAGAGTGTCAAATTTTTCTACTCTTTGACCATATAGTAATCTCACTGCAGTTCTCATATATAAAAGAAAGTTCCATGACTTTTTTCGAATTGTCTCTCCTTTAATCTCAAAAGAAAAGTCTTCAGTTTCTATTGTAAATTTGTCCTTAATACTCTTCTGAATTACTGTATTTATTTGTATCCAAATACTTTGGCTTTTTTGCACATCCACCATGCATGATAAAATATCCCTCATGTTGTTCACATGTTGTTTTAGTTAGGCTGTTGTTCCGGTGGGATGGTCTTGTGATTTTAAAGTGAAGATTCTATAGGTTTTTACCCATACAAATCTGTTGCTCTCTACCACATTCTTAGTTTTGCATTGCAGACAAGGAAGTTGGATGCTTCTGGCTTACCTAGAACTGATCTTATTGGCTTCATAGCCTTTGAACAGGCCTGTGGCTTCTAATGTTTAGGTGTCCCAACCGTTTCTAAGAAAAAAGGGTTGTATAAATAATTATGCATGCTTTGTTTCTGAAATTATTTTTTTTGCTAGTTAAGAATAAAATGAATATGAACTTGTCTGAAGTCACAAGAACACAATATTTTTATTTCTATGGTGTTTGGGATGTTCTTGTAAGCATGGGCATGTAAAGGCCTTCCTGAGACTGTGTTCAGGGAATGAGTGGCCTGTACTTAGCAGATTACCACATTATTAAAGAGCAGGGGTGCGCAAATATGGCCCCTTTATAACCTGTGGACTTCAACTCCCAGAATTCCTGAGCCAGCTTGGCTGTCTCAGGAATTCTGGGAGTTGAAGTCCACAGGTTGTAAAAGGGCCACATTTGCCCACCCCTGTTAAAGAGGCATTACAGAAAGAGGCTGGCTTTCTGAGAGAAATTGACCCCCCCCTTTTAAGCCCTGGATAGTTATCATAAACGTACTTGGCCTCTATCTAGTCAAGCTGCAATCAGTTGAATCTTATTTTAACAATTAGAACAGGCTGCACCTGAATAAATTGTCTCTAGCAGGATAGGAACCTTCATGACTTGCCAGTCAACTTAGAGCTGCTGTGAGTTATAGACGTAAGAGCTATATAGCTCAGGAACTTCTGGAAAAGCCTGGACTGATGGGCAGAGAAACAATGGCTTTTGTGTTAGATCTGTTTTGTTTTTAGAAATGTCTAGTCTTCCATTTTTCCATTGCTTTGGCTTTAGCATGCTCTCTGGATAATTCCTAGGCCTCGAAGGAGGATTTCCCTGGAGTTTTGAGGTAGGACTAGAAAAGACTCTTATCTGAAACCATGGATAATTGTTGCTACCCAACACTGCTACTAGGTAGAGGCATCAATGATCTGACTTCATATAAAAAGATTCCTATATTTGTAAGTTATAAAAGACATACCCCTCATTTTCACTTATACAGGTAATCCTCGATGTATCACTGCAATTGACCCCCAAATTTCCATTGCCTAGCAAGACAGTTATTAAGTGAGTTTTCCGTTTTATGACCTTTCTTGCCACAGTTGTTAAATGAATCACTGTTGTCATTAGTAACACAGTTGTTAAGTGCATCTGGCTTCCTCATTGGCTTTGCTTGTCAGAAAGTCACAAGAGGTGATCACATGACCCCAGGACACTGCAACCGTCATAAATACATGCCAGTTGCCAAGTGTCCGAATTTTCATCATGCGACCATGGAGATCATAAGTGTGAAAAACTAGTGTGAAAAATAAGTCATTTTTTCAATGCCATTGAATGGTCGCTAAATGAATTGTTACAAGTCAAGGACTATCTATAGTGAGTTTTAAATTAGGCTTCCTATTGCCAAAACACAAGACACTGAATCTGCTAAAGTTGGAAGATATGATAACTTCAGTGTAACCTAATATAGCTCTACTTTTAGGTGTAAAATTGTCACTTTGAGTCAGGTTTGACTCCTGGAAATTACATGAAAAAGTCCCTGCAGTTTGCTTGGCAACATTTTTGACTGTAGTTTGCTGTTACCTTCTTCCTAGGGCTGAGAAAGGGAGACTATGAAGTCTCTTAATTGGTTTCATGCCTAAGTCAGGACTTGAACTCATATTCTTCCCAGTTAACAGCAAAACACCTTTAACAGATACACCAAGTTATTAGACTAGAAGTGGAGAGATGTGAGTTTTACTCTTGTCTTAAGTATGGGTATCAACTGGGTGATTTGGGGCTATTCACTTCTCAGTAAGGAGAAAATGGCAAGCCCCTTCTGAAAATATTGCCAAGAAAACTGCAGAGGCTTGTTCATATAATCACCAAGAATCAAGACTGATTAAACATCCCCCCCAAAAAAACCTTTACACAGGCATAATCTGTGTAACATGATCGGTAAAAGAGTTGCATAAATTTGTCCTTGACTTTCAGACTTCACAAATCACAGGGCAGCTATGGAATTCACTTTCAAATTGTGTAAGTTATTTATATCTGCACATTTACACTTTGCACCTTTAAAGGTTATTTTCCCCCTACATGCTGAGTTTAGTTTTGGACCATATCCCAGCCTTTTAGAATAAGAGATGCCTGTTGAATATGCAGCGGAATCCCTTTGTAGTTTATCCATCAAAAATGACATAAAGAAAAGTTCTCTTGGAGCTGAACTTGCTCCTCCTGGTGATTTAAAGAACATATCCATGGGATTTGCTTGGCAACAATATACAAATAGTTTGAGATTGTCTTGTCTTCCCAGGATAGATCTGAAATTCTCTAAAGATCTCTATCCAACCTACCAATCAGGTCTAACCATCTTCAACTTCCAAGTCCAGATACCTATTCACAACCTCATCCCAAAAAATTACTATTGGGCTATTAAGTGACAGTAAATGCATACTTTATTTGTATTTACTGTGCATAGTTCTTTTTAAAATTCAGAAATAGCAGACACAGGCTACTGTAGAAATGCTACTGGCAGAATCTCAGAAATAGGAAACAGTTAAGTGTTTACCTTTCATGATGTTGTGAAAAGTAATTATTCTGAACTTGCAATTTGAATGATGAGGAATTCCTCTTTGGTACCAATGGATATTTTCCTTCCAATACAAATATTAGCTTTGAGAGAGTGAGTCTCATCAGAAGTAGTATGGAAAAAATAGTTATATTTCTCCTTTTTCTCACTAGAATCTGCTATGATTCCTCCCAGAAACAGCCAATTGTATTCTTTTAAGAAGCATGATGCAAAGATGTGCTTAATATAAATTCTAGCTTCACCCTTTTCATATCTTATAAGAAGGAAAATTCAGAGGAAGAGATATGAGCTGGTTTGGCTCTTAACGGCAGGAGAACATGAAAACCAAATTTAAACTTTGCTTCAGTGATTTTC